GGAGAATCGAATGGAAAACAAGGATTCATGTGGCTAATCCACTCATTTTGAGTTCTCAAATGAGGTTAGGTCAATCCCACATCGAGTTTCGGGGTCAAAACATGGTTTTTTGGGCTGTTTAGAGTCAGTTTCAGTGGGAACCGGTCGACCGGTGACAGAGGAGTGTAACTCCACCGGTCTGCCGGTAGAGAGGTGGCCGGTCGACCGATGGAAGCGTGACCGGTCGACCGGTGGGGAAGAATTCCAGGGCCAACAATGGCCGATTCGCGAGGAACAAAGCCAAAACTTGCAATTTTGGGTCCGATTTCGACATATTCTCAAGGGAAATGTATAGATCCAGTTTCAAATCAACAAATGGGGTCCAAAGAATGAAAAACCCCCAATTTTCATCAAGGTTTCGCCAAATCCCATTCGAATTCCATTTGAAAACAAAATTTAAACCAAAAATCATCAAACTCGACTAAAATGAGTTCCACAAAGCTAAATCCAAAAATCTAAAGTAAGTTTCAAAGAGTTTTACCTCAATCCAAGCTTTGATGTTGAAAATCTCTTAGAAATCCCCGTTTTTCTTCAAATCCGGTTCAAGAACGTTCTTGAGAGAGAGGGAAAACTTGAAAGAAAGAGTGAGGAAGAGATGGGTGAGAGAGAGAGAGAGAGAAAGAGAGCTCGGTGAGGGAGAGAGGGAGAGACTAACAGAGAGTGTGAGAGAGTGAGAGGGTTACGGGAGAGGAGGGAAAAAGAAAGAAAGAAAGAAAAGAAAAGAAGAAAAGGAAAATAGAATGAAGGAAAAGAAATAATAAAGAAAGACAAATAAAAGTAAAGAATGGTGAAACTGCAATTATCAAAAATAAATTTAAAAGTTCATGATTAATTAAGAAATCAATTTAGACATACTAATAAATCACAATTATCATAATTAAACAAGTTTAATTTCGGAGAACGTTACATTAAATCAAGCTCCATAAAAAATAAAATTTTAATTATTTTCCAAGATTATGTCTCCGGTATATGTATGTAAGGCTGATTAGAGTGATCTGTAACTATTGGCGTGTCATTTTAATAGTCAGTAGTATTGATGAACAGTGGAAGTCAAGTAGACATTTTTAGAGTTCTATAGGAAAACTTATGGTCCGATGGTATATGTTCTATATGTAGATCCAATTGCATTAATAAGCACAGGATAGGAATTAATCTTTGATTGAAAATAAAGATATAATTTCTCAAAAGTGTTAAATGGAAATAAATAACACACAACATACACATATAATTGACGGCAAGACATTGAACGCATTAATGAATTGGCCAGACCTTGTACGACCAGAACATGTGCATGTCTTTTCAATGCGATCAAACGAGGAGCTTCATTGCTTGCTTCCTTTTGTTTTTTTTGGTTTTTTTTTTTGGTGCTGTTTTTTCTTCTTCTTGTTTTTTTCTATGAAATATGAAACTTATCTTCAGGTGCTTTCTCTTTCATACTTTAAAGTTCAAATGAAGCAAAAGTATATAGTAGCGAGTTTGGACCCACGTGAATTGCTTCACGATATACTTTGAGGGTTCACAAGAATATTGGAGACTCTTGATGTTTGTTCATGACCATCATGGATTGGTTACTCTTTCTCACGGAAAAGATAAACCAATTAGGTCAGTTACTCTCTGTAATTTCTACATTCAATATTTAACACTAAACTCTATTAATATAATATATTATTATCTAAATAAAAAATGAGATAGTAAATTCTACGCATTAAATAATAAATATAAAAAATAACAGAGAGTGATTTAATATTTCTCTTAGCCGTATTAATCGAAAGCCTATAAAAAATGCTAATATTATTCTCTTGTTACTTCTGTACTTACTGTTTGATATATAAATTTTATTATTTTATTTTTATTTAAATAATAATATATTATGTCAGTGCAGTTTATGAGTGATAAAAAGAACATATGTATATTGCCAATCTTTTGTTTCTTGCCTCAGATCCCTCACAAACTTTGCTTTTGCTTTAAGCGTTTTACAAATGGCGTCATGGGGCTTTCCAAACAAACGCGAATATTTGCTCTCGATCTTTTCTTTCTCCAACTTTGGCTTCATAAATTATTTTCTGCAACATCGGTTATCTTGCCAATAGAGGTTTACGCGTGCTTTGGAAAATCTGTCCCTTCTCTTTTAGCAATTATTATAAAACTTTTTTCTAAAAAAACGAAAAGAAAAGAAAACTTGTTGATCATGGTGCAACTAGCTCTGCTAGCTAGCACATAAAAAGATTGGCTAGAGAAAACCTTGTTAACCTGAGTGCAAAGGGAAAGGACAAGGCTTACAAGGACCATTTACATATATGTACAAACCAAACCGAACCGAAAATACAATTGCTTCATCTCAAAATTCACCACCAGAAAATTGTGTACATAGTATATGCTAATAAACAATTTTTTACGCATATTTATACATATATATATATATATATATATATGTGGTAACTTTCTTGATCATTTGAGGGTTCTTTTGATTATAAGCTCGTCCTCAAACTAATCACAAGATGTAATTGACAACACACACACACACACACACATATATATATATATAAATATATGAATATGTATATGTTAAGTCATCATTTGGTGAAACTCATTAAAATCAAGCACACCGTTGCCATCCGTATCAAACACCTGAATCATGGCCACACACTCGTCATATGATTTGGCATCCCCAAGCTTACCCAACATCCTTTGCAAGCTTCTAGGGGTGATGCAACCCTTCTCCAACTCAAACATCTCAAAGGCATTCTTTAGATCTTGATGATCATGATCATCTCTCTTCATCAGCTTTAGGAAGTCTTGGAAGTCAATCAAATCGTCGCCGTCGGAGTCGAAGTCGTTGATCACCCCCTTTGCCTGCTCGTGGGACATGTATTCCCCGACGGACCCGAAGTACGCCCGCAGCTCAAAAGCCGATATCTTGCCGTCGTCGTTTTGGTCGAAACGGCGGAAGACTTGCCTCAGCTCGTCCTCTTTGTTTGTGCCGATTATCGCAATAGTCGTAGTAGGGCTAGTTCTTGGGGTGCGTAAAGGAGAAATGGGAGAGCTTGGAGAGCTTGAACAGGAAGAGCTTGATTTTGATCGGCGACGGTGGAAACTTAGTTTAAGAGTCTTGTTTGCAAACCATTTGGATAATGGTTTGGAAACTGCGTGATGATGATCATGATGATCAGAAGTACTAATGGCCATTATTTGATGAAGAAAAAGATGATTATAGAATTGAGTTTCTTTAGGCAATAGAGATGGAATGGATTATATATAGAGGAGAATGGAATTAGATAATTTCTTGGGGAAATAAATTCAATGAAGCTATGGGAGTTTCAATGAAATTGCTCGGCCTTGGGCTTGTGAACTACTTTTTTTTCTTTTTTCTTTTTTTTTTTTTTTGGGTGGATCGACATAGGAAACTGCATGGTAGTTTCCTTTTGAGGGTCCCATAAATATGACTGTGCACCGTCCTTTTTGAAAAATATTATATAAGCAGCTTTTACATCGGTGGAAAATTGCTCCTCGAATTGTATTAAGGAACACAAAAAAAAAAAAAAAAAAAAAAAAAAAACCATGTGAATTGTGAAGTTTTTGTTATTTATTCATATTTTTTATATCGGTGTAAAATCACATAAAAATTAAAAAATACATACATTTAACTTTTAAAAAAATTTATCATATCAATATGTCAGGTATATTAGAGAATTTTCATTATATTTAAGGGAGTTAATTTTATGGTGAATTTTCTTTATTAATAAAATGTAATAATTCTAATAGAATTATATTGAGTTAATTTAACTCAATATAAATCTAATAAAATAACCCTTAAAAACTATAACTAGATATGATCTAATGGTAAGAACTTGTCTAGAATATTTCTCATATTCTATCTATTTTAGAATTCCCTTTATTTATTGTTAGAAAAGTAATTGAAATTATTAATGACATTTATCTATTTGTTTTTTTTATGGAATATATATATATATATTTGTTGAAGCAACCTCAATCCGATAACTCCTTAGAGGACAGTAAAGAAAGTTTTATATATTAACAAAACCTACGAACGAACATTGAGCATTAATGTTTGGTTAGAGAATGTAAAACCACCGCTTGGTTGGTTGTTAGATATATTAGACAATGTACCGTCATCACGGTCTGTGTGCTAAATTTTATATTGATCGGCTTTTATGAATATATGCATATTTCTCATTGTCATATTATGTAAAAATCACAGCACGATGATAATACAAAACTATTTACTATTAATATTTTTTATCCTGCCCGAAAATATTAAGTCTCAAGAATTAATATTTTTATTCTCAAGATTATTAATGTTTTCAAATATTAAGATATTAATTCTCAATGTAGCTAGAGTGTTAATTTAATTAATCTGATATAATATAACAACAAAAATATTTACTGTCGATAATTTTATCCTGCTGCGGAATTTTCCTCTACTATATCGTGGCTAAAAAAATACTTTCTGATTGAAAACAACAATGATAACATTATAGAATATTAACTATAACGATAAATCTAATAAAAAACTATATATTGGTTAATCAAAGATTAATAAGTTATCTAAGTAACTACAGTTGGGTGCTACCTTTTTTTCAATAATTGTCATGACTAAATTAGATTCTAAATCCATTCTTGTTTCATGTCAAGGGACAAATTTACGTTTAGTGACAGATTTAATACCATGTTATAGAAATAATTGCAGATGATGAAAGTTGCAAGTTGGTCGAAGGTGCCATTTGCCATAGCTGGAGCCAGGAAATAAAAGTATACACACTTCGTTCGCGTTTTTTCTTTAAAAAAAAAAAAAAAAGGAATATGTATTCCAAAAATTAGAGAAATACACACTCTAATTTCGACTCGAACAATCTCAATTTTTTGTGTTGCATTCGCCTAATTTATGTTACTTTACTTCTCCTACACTAACTTTATATACTAAATAAATAGCAATTCTCCCTTTAAGGACGTAAGAAGAATCGTGGAAACTTGTGACAACAAATAAAAACAATGACGAAACCAAGGAAAGTTGGTCACTAAATTTTTCACCTTTAGTCATCAGCTCTATATTTTAGGAAAACCATAAATTATAAATAAATAGGAGCTATTCATTTATTAAGATTCTAATGGCTAGAGAGAAAGTTAAGCAAGGCTTTCATTCCAACTTTGGCCCTCTTTTACCTAATCCATTGTTATTTAAAAAAAAAATACTACTGTTATATTTTTTGTCACTCTTTTTGTTACATTCTGCATTCATTGTGTGACACATGGACTCTACTGACATGATATATTATTATTCAAATAAAAAATGAGACAGTGGAGTGCACGTGTCAAACAATGTAGAAAGTGACAAAGAGAGTGATGCTAGCATTTCTCTTGTTGCTAAATGTCATATTCTATTACACACACACAAAGTAGGTTCATTTAGTGTGATGTTGCCATAAACGAAAGCTTATTTGCAGCTCCTTCTTCTTCATAAATTATTTTTTCCTCCTAATTAAAGTTAATTTTACTCCTATAAGAAAAGCTTATGTTTTCATTCTTTATTTTCTAGAAAATTTAAGAAAGTTTCATTCGGCACATACGTGAATTATTTTGCTTTCCCTATTATCGTTAATTTGTTTTCATGAATCATATTAGAATTCATTGCATCATACACAACATTGATTATTGCATAATTTAATTGTTTTATAATTAGTATTAACGTACGACGACATCACATGTCTTACATAATAATTGATATGACTTTCCAAATGATACAACATATAGTTTCCTTCGTCAAGGAGCTTTTCGTACGTAGTTTCACGTGGCGTTTTCATGACGCTCAAATCACGCGGAGTTCTTTTAGCTTCTAATTAATTCCTACAAGTTCTATAGTTTGATAAGATTAACTAATTTATATTCTCGAACTTATAATTAAAGATATTTTCAGCCCGATGTTTATTCTACTGGAGAAAATCTTCAGCTTAATTAGAACGATCAATTTCTTTCGCAAAAAGAAAAAAATTAAGTTTTTACTTTTGTAATGTATTTATCATCAAATTTAGATGATCACTTTAGTGTACTTATATTAATTGAAATATTATACATTTAATTTAACAGATAGGTTTCAAACGTGTTATAAATACACAAATTACAGATTCTTTAAATAATAAATCTCATTAAGTTTACCCCCTCATGTTGTATTCTTGAAAAAGTTCCCTTAGAAATATTTAAGAAAAATAGTAATAATATATACATAAAAAAGAAAATTGTAATAATACCCCCATCACGATTCGTTTTACAATAATGCGCCTTTCAGTGGCATGAAAAGACGATTGAAAAAGAAAAAGAAAAAAACAAAACAAAAAAGAGAGAGAGAAAAAGAAATTTTAAACCGACTTCTCTACTTGGCGTCTTCTATTTAAATGTAACCAGAGTCGGTTGCTTTACATAATCTGTGTGCGCGTAGCTATAATTTGAGTATTTAATTGTAGGTGGAGACTGGAAAGTGGAAACAATGAAAAACTGTTGGAAAGACGAAGAGAAAATTACAACCTAAGTAGACTTGAAGTTGCACCGAAGCTTACGATGCCACCTAGAACATGGATATTAATGCGTCCACACTATCAACTAGCATTTTCAATGAGTCGGCTTAATTAGCTAGAAAAAACCGCACTAAATAAGAGAAGTAACTAAAATAAACAATATTATATGTAAATTAATTCTTTTTTAGGAAGAAAGAATTTGGAGTACACCTTTGAGAGTCCATTCGATCGATCCCTTTGGCCTGTTGAGTCAACCAGCATATATACTCCCAAAATGATAACCTGCGAGTATACATACACAAAATATTGAACTATGCAAATTAATAACAATGAACTTGATAGAGACTCTAAATAAGGTAAATGAACACGATCTTCTTACATTCTATGTAGCACCAACAAAATCAAAAATCAAATGAAATCCTCTAACATTCTACCTAGCGACTATATATTATATTGTCCTTCAATATCCCACTTGACCCAAGTTTAACAAAGTGTGTATATACATATTCATATATATATATATATATATATAATGTGTGTGTATATATATATACACGTGTGTGTGGACAGCTTTCAAGTCCACGATAGAATTTATATGGGATTCATTTGAAATTCTTTCATATATATTGCCTTGAATAAACTCTCAAAATTATTTAACAGGTTGTAGGAGATATTCAAAAAGGCAGCTACTACTATTATTGTACAAGTAGAATTCTACAATTAATTTTGTTTAGAGGGTCAATGGCCGCTTAATTCCGAGTGTCGATCACGTTGGAAAGTCGGCCGGAATCCATTTGAGTTGACATAATGCTGAAATGAGAATGTAGAGTGTGAAAAAGTAAATAAACACATGAATTTATAGTTGTTCACTTTTAATATTAATGTAATGTCTATTATAAGGTCTCGGTATTTCACTATATCGTGTAAAGAGTACAGTTGCAATAGAGAGTAAGAAAGGGAGAGATAAGAGAAGGTGATTCAGAGAGAGAATCTAGAGAGGGAGTAAGTGTAAATTATGAGGTCTGAATGTGATGGATGAGATCAAAATTAAATGCCTAATTCGTGATCATAACTCCCTATTTATAGGAGATGATCTCCAATTTTTTTTTTTTCCCCTTGAGCTGACACGCTGTCAACTAGAGAATAAGTAGTTTCCTCTTTCTAATTATTTCCTTATTTAAGTCGTGGTAGCTTTCTTCTTTAGTATCGATATAATTCGAGCATTTAATATCGGACTTGGCTGGATTGGACTTGGTGTCCTCTTAAAAACCCTATTTTCTAATTTATATGCGGTGGTTTCCACGAATCTACTGTCATCGTGCTCCTCCAATTAACGCTGTCTTTTGAATTAATCCTGCAGTCAATTGATTTTAGTCTTGCTTCTCGAAATATTGTCAACGTACTGCGTAGGCACTAGACAAAAGAAAGAGGTCCCTTCAAATTAGTGCAACAGTACTTTATGGTGGAAGGAAACCGCATGGCAACTTCCTAAAGTGTTGGTAGTTTATCATGTACGATCCAATTTCAAAACACTAACTACTTTCGCTTTCTAAAAGTATGTGCGTTAATCACTTGTAACGCATCCACCAACAAAATACCAAAGAGATTATAATAGAAAAGGTTCTGTTCCGACTAGTCATTATGAGCTCCTAGTTCCTAAAATATATAAGATAGGTACTTTAACTAATTCGAAAAAGGAAAACTCTTTTTGACCAATAGAGATTCATCTCTATAGATACAAAAAGACAGGCTCCCTATAATGGGA